AAATGGTTGATTAATACCAAAGAGCAGATTTCAAAGCATTAATTTATTTTCAGGCTATGTAACCACCCCCCCCCCCTTTGACCCTGGGGGCATTAAAAACCACTTTGCTAGATGCACCTTTCTTCATCATAAATATATATATACTTGGATCATTGGCTTAAAACCCAGAAGCAAAGAAAAATATTTACAAAGAATAGATGTATTTTTACTATATAATCAATAGAGCCTCGCCCTAACACCAGAACCCCTGACCCTGGGGCCATAAAATTCACAAATCTGGAAGAGGCACTCTTGCTCATCATAACTATGTGCTTATTTAGTGTATTTAATACCCAGGAGCAGAGAAGAAGATTTTCAAAGAAATAATGCATTTTCACTATATTATCTTTAGAGCCCCGCCCTAACACCAGAACCCCTGACCCTGGGGCCATAAAATTCACAAATCTGGAAGAGGCACTCTTGCTCATCATAACTATGTGCTTAGTTAGTTTATCTAATACCCAGGAGCAGAGAAGAAGATTTTCAAAGAAATAATGCATTTTCACTATATAATCTATAGAGCCCGGCCCTAACACCAGAACCCCTGACCCTGGGGCCAAAAAATTCACAATTTTGGAAGAGGCACTCTTGCTCATCATAACTATGTGCTTAGTTAGTGTATTTAATACCCAGGAGCAGAGAAGAAGATTTTCAAAGAAATAATGCATTTTCACTATATAATCTATAGAGCCCCGCCCTAACACCAGAACCCCTGACCCTGGGGCCATAAAATTCACAAATCTGGAAGAGGCACTCTTGCTCATCATAACTATGAGCTTAGTTAGTTTATCTAATACCCAGGAGCAGAGAAGAAGATTTTCAAAGAAATAATGCATTTTCACTATATAATCTATAGAGCCCGGCCCTAACACCAGAACCCCTGACCCTGGGGCCATAAAATTAAAAGGTACTCTTGCTCATCATAACTATGTGCTTAGTTAGTTTATCTAATACCCAGGAGCAGAGAAGAAGGTTTTCAAAGAAATAATGCATTTTCATTATATTATCTATGGAGTAGGGGTGGGACGATACACAGATCTTGCGATACGATACGTATCTCGATATATTAGCACGATACGATACGTATCTCGATATTATGATAAATTATTTATAAAACTATTTTTAAAAAGTATTTTATTTCATTTTCTGTCTTGACATTAAATCAACTGTTACATGATAAATTATAAAACTATGCAAAAGAATTAGTATTTTATTTCATTTTTTTTTTGTCTTGACATTAAATCAACAAATTATTCTTAGACTATATAAAATCATGTGTGCTTTGAAATTAATACTTGAAGTTCATCAATTTTATTGACTAAAACTTTACAAAAACAATAATACATGTCCATATTATTGTTACCAAATTTCTATAAACAAGTTGTTTACAAACAGTTGTGTAGTTCATCAAACTGACTAAAATTTCATTTAAAAAACATCAGATTTAATTATAATCAATTGCTGAAAGTCTGTAGCCTAGTTGAGATTACAAAAAAGATGGACTATCAGTTAATAATATATTAAATATCAAATATTCTGGAAACGTTACTTTCTGTGAATAGCACGCTTTACATACTGAACTTTTCTTGTCCAATCTTCCGACGCTGCTTAAAAGTGAAAACGTTTTACCCCTAATCAAAGACTTATTAGTTCTACATAATGTTTTCAATATCATCATCATCTCTTCGCTTCGTACAAGCCGCCATTTTCCAAGGACATGTACTTTCATTTTCAATTTTTGGATAGGTCGTTCGTGTATCGTTTCGTACCGATATTTGAATGCTTGTATCTTAAACCGTATCTTAGAGGAAAATATCGATATGTATCGGTGTATCGGTATATCGTCCCACCCCTACTATGGAGCCCCGCCCTAAAACCAGAACCCCTGACCCTGGGGCCATAAAATTCACAAATCTGGAAGAGGCACTCTTGCTCATCATAACTATGTGCTTAATTTGTTTATTAAATACCCAGGAGCAGAGAAGAAGATTTTCAAAGAAATAATGCATTTTCACTATATAATCTATAGAGCCCCGCCCTAACACCAGAACCCCTGACCCTGGGGCCATAAAATTCACAAATCTGGAAGAGGCACTCTTGCTCATCATAACTATGTGCTTAGTTAGTGTATTTAATACCCAGGAGCAGAGAAGAAGATTTTCAAAGAAATAATGCATTTTCACTATATTATCTATAGAGCCCCGCCCTAACACCAGAACCCCTGACCCTGGGGCCATAAAATTCACAAATCTGGAAGAGGCACTCTTGCTCATCATAACTATGTGCTTAATTTGTTTATTAAATGCCCAGGAGCAGAGAAGAAGATTTTCAAAGAAATAATGCATTTTCACTATATAATCTATAGAGCCCTGCCCTAACACCAGAACCCCTGAACCCTGGGGCCATGAAATTCACAAATCTGGAAGAGGCCATCTTGCTCATCATAACTATGTGCTTAGTTAGTGCATTTAATACCCAGGAGCAGAGAAGAAGATTTTCAAAGAAATAATGCATTTTCACTTTATAATCTATAGAGCCCCACCCTAACACTAGAACCCCTGACCCTGGGGCCATGAATTTCACAATTTTGGTAGAGGACTCAATGCTCATTACATTCATGCCAATAGTTTGCCTGCTTGATGTCCAGAAGTAAAGAAGAAGATTTTTAAAGATTTCATTAATTTTAGTGGTTTTGGTCCCACCCCTCAGGCCCCAGGGGAGGTGGGGACCATGAAATTCACAATTTTGTTCCCCTCCACCCATAGATGCTGTGTACCAAATTTGGTTGAAATTGGTTCAGTGGTTTCAGAGAAGAAGCTGAAAATGTTCAAATGTTAACACACGACGCACGACACACGACGACGGACGAAAACGGATAGCAATAGTCACCTGAGTTACTCAGGTGACCTAAAAATATATACAGGCATGTAGTATCGTTTATGGCAGCCAGAAAAATTATTTTACACTTAACTGAAAAAAAATTCCACCCTACTCAATACTCCTTGGGAATACTCCCTGTCTGTTTTATGAAAGGAATTATTACTTTTATAGGTCTCGAGTATATTAATATTTTAGAATAATTTCTACCTAAAACACATTAAAAACAAAAATGAAGATATATTAAAAGAGATTTAAAAAAATTGATTTTTTAAAAAAAATCTGTATTTTGTCCAACATCAAAACATTTATATCACTGCCCCCAACTGGTAGATGATGAAATAAACAATTAAAGGTTGTATTTTCCCCTTTGTAACCCTTATGTGCCCAGTGGCAAGAAGCCTGTTAGGAGAGCGTAAAAAAAGAAGCAAAAATTAATGTAAAAAAGTTGATAATGTATCCAAAATATAATTTTTTTTTTTTTTTATTTCCTCCTCCTACGGGACTTTTTCATTCTGATGTTCGTAAACCTAAAAATAAAAAAATGCTGGCCTTAAGATAATTGTAATTTTTTGACGGGCGTATCATGCTGTGGCGTGGCACTTTATTAATTTCAATGAACAGCGATTCCATGGTTACTAAAAATAGAAATTTCTGCCAATTACTTTCGAAATGCTACCCCACCAACAGTTTTGGTCAGATTTTAATATAATGCAGCATGCAAGTAGACATGATATATAATTGTCTTTTATTGTTTTTTTGATTTTGAATAATGGTGTTGCCATGATGACTAAAATTGAAATATTTGTAAAATTCTTTTAAAAAGACTCCTCCTACAGTTGTGGTCGAATTTTTATCTTGCTACAAAAAGAGACTAAATCAAGGAGCATTTATCTATTTATTGCTTTGCAAAAGAGCTGCCTTACCGATGACACGGCCGACTCAAGTATTTAAAAGGAAATCACCTGTTTCTATTTATAGATACATGTACATGTACCTTTTCAATTCAAGATTAAACTACATGTATGTAATCATTTGTGGACCAGTGTTATATTCTCATAGTTGCAATTTTTAAGTTTGTTACATGACAATCATTCTACTTGTTCAATGCTCTTATTCTAAACAAGATTTTTAGAAAATTTTAAAAATAAAACAAGCTAGCAGCCATGACTTTGGGTCATTAAAATAGTTTAGGACTGTTTTTCCTGAGATACTTTCAAGGTGTAATGTTAAATTATATAGCTCTTACATTATTTATACAACTAATATAAAATAATCAAAGAAAACATAGGAAAATGCACAGACAAAAAAAAACAAATAAAAAGCAAAGATAAGAAACTTGCACTGTGAGACTCGAACTCGCAATTATTATGCCTTCAGTCCAGCAATCATACCACTACGCCATGAAGTCATTATGATCAGATGGATAAATTTAAGACAGATTGTTGAATCTTAAAATAATTTTGAGAAGAAAAATTAAATACAAATTTTCAACAATTATTATATGAAGACCACCTTTAACCAAAATTATCTAAATGTTATGAAGTGCAGTCATATCCAAATAAAATTATTCAGAAGTTGTTTTTCTGGTTAAGGGTGGTCTTTTGCTACAGTTTGTCATTGTTTAGGGGGATACCTCAGTACTTACTATATTCTTCATATAAACCGAACGATTTTTATATCTATCATATGAGGGAACTATTAATATTTAAATATTATTTTTGTGTGATTTGCTTGAAGGCATGTATAAACTAACATTGTATGACAAAATTCTGGTTAAACAATGTATTTAAAAAATCACTACTAGATTAGGATCATTAGGTGAAAGTGACTATCAAATTCACTCTCTTTTCTCTTTCTTTGTTTTAAGTACAAACCAGTAGAGCTGCAGTCTCGTCAGAGACTTCTGGTTTATGAGATAAAAAGGGAAAGAAAAATGCCCTCCAGCATTATTTTGGGAAAACTGGCCTGATATCCAAGTTCTGATATATTCCTTGCACTCTATACTGTTTATGATAACTGAACAAAATACACATTACTATTACATTATTTTAGCTGATTTTATAAAATTGTTTATTTTGCAGGTTAGAGAATATGAGTTGAAAAAAGTGAACTTTTCAGAGACAGGAAACTTTGGGTTTGGTATCCAGGAACACATTGACTTGGGAATTAAATATGATCCCTCAATTGGAATTAATGGCATGTACTTCTATGTTGTACTAAATCGACCAGGTCAGTTAATATTAGTGTCCCAGAATCAGTCAAAAATATTATCAGTTAAAAAATATTAAACTTGGAAAACATTGTTATTAGCTCACCTGAGCATCAAGTGAGTTTTTCTGATCACATTATGTCCGGCATCTGTCTGTCTGTGAACTTTTCAATTTTCAACTCCTTCTCAAGAAATGCAGGGTCTAGTTTATTCAAATGAAGGGCCATAACTTCTTCAAAGGGGAGATTATAAATTATGAATTAGTGAAAAAATAATAAAATCTTTTTAAAATCTTTTTCTCGAGAACTACTTACCGTAATTTCGGGAATATAGGTCGATACTTTTTTTCTCAGAACCGCTGGGGTCGACCAATATTCAGAATTCGACCTATTTAAGGCTCAAGTTTACGAAAAATGCCCCCAAATCAGTAAAATTTACGCCAATTTCAAAGCAAATCTGTGCCACTTTCGTAACTTTTTTGATTATTTTCGCAAAAAAATTAATGCTCCAGTAAACAATAAAATATTTATTCTATAGCTTTCTTAGAAAATAAGTTCCATTAATTATCTGTTGATGACAAAGGAAAACAACGTTGCTATATCTATTAAATAATTCCTTAACGTATTATCCATTAACATCATGCGATATCCATCTTGTGAAGTTAGGAAGTCGCGATCGTGTACTAAAAGTAAAACCGCAACCGTATCAAAATTTAAAATACGGAAAATTTTCACGATCACAACTGTTGTGTTTTTACCATTTATTAGTAGCGATAAATTGAAATAGTATATCAAATATTTTTTATTGTCTTATGTTTATTTAAATGTTAAACGAGTGAAATAATCAATTCAATTCCTAAATTTAATCAAAAAAAAAAAAAAAGTCATTACTGTTTTTTTTTTAAATATTAATTAATTATTTACCGGTATACACAGATTGGCTTCTAACAGAATTTTAATTGTCTGACAGATAAAGGGATTTACCGTACACTGTGTACGCAAAGGTGTTTAACACCTGTGTTCACTGTTGGTTTAAGGGGGATGTACAAGCCATATTGGATCTAGTCTGCTGTAAACTAAGAAATACCAAGAATGCGCTTAATACTCTACTAAACTAGCTCAAAGTTACTCAAAGTGCTAATGCACTAATTACCTACAGTTAGAGACCAAAATTAGTAAATAATTAAGTTTATTTTGTCTTAATTAGAAGAAAATTAATCATGTTAGAACTGCGCAGCTACAGCATTCATGAGATGAAAAATGCATTGAAAATGGAGTTAGTTTGATTCATTGATAATATGGCTACAACCATTTGTTTCGTTTTTTTCTTGTCATTATCCATAATTCTTGAAAATTTGATTTTTCATATGGGTGTCTTCCTGAGGCCATGTGTTTATTTCGTCCGCCATTCCTCTGTCACACAGAGTTCGAATAACAATGATTTTAGAATAAATGCGACCATAATAACATCAAGACAAGAAATTACTAAGTAATAATCATTAGGTTATATTACTTACTACTTTTATTTGTTGCATCGCATCGTCTGATTAATGAAAAAAGGCGATTTTAACCTCACTCCAGCAAATCGGGAAAAACTGTCCTGTTTTAAACTCGAAATTCCTCGTTAATATTATTCCACTAAGCACATGGTTGGCATGTGCATATATCTGCTGTGGATAGATCCGTTTATTACCATGATTATATTTGATTTTTATGGAACAAGTCTTGATAATTTGTTGGTTTCTTTAAAACTCAAGAAAAAAAGATAAAAATGTCCTAAACATTTGTGTTTACGGAGGGTCTTTTTTCTGTGGCGATAGAAGTTATTTTCAAATGGGGCACTGCAAGGAGGATGCTTAGCATTTAATTTGAAAATGTTAAACAATATGCAGTGCATGAAAAATAAATTGTAATTACATGTCTTACATTCGAAAAGTTGGTACATATGTCTATTTTGTTTAGAAGTTAGATAGAAAAAATAGGCAGTTATAGGATTTCCTTCAGGCACCTCACATAAATAGCTAGAATGTTTGCAATGACCCACACATTGTATGGGGTCATGTTTGGACACAAAAACGCATCATGTCTCATTATGTTGACAACGTTGTAAGCTCTCGCTCATTGAACATACGAAGCTTGATAAAATATAATGAGTTGTTTCTATGAAATTTAGAATCGAGCACAATGTTTGCAAAGAAAGGTCCATTGCATATGCTAGTCTATCATCGCAAAAAAAGTGAGTGTTAACCCCCCCCCGCCCCGAAAATCCTATGTTTGTTTTTCAAAATAGTGTCAAAGATTAAAAAAAAATTGCATTACTAAGTATGTGATGGAACATGTACTAGACTTATATAAGACCACTTGTTATAAAAATATTTGGTTGCCCTCTCTCCCGATCTACTACCTAGAAATGGCCCGACTCATTTTTTTAACATCCCATTACACGATATTTTTTTCTTTTTCTTCCGTCAACAATTCTGTTTAAATTTTAAGGAATTTTTTTCTCACCTATAAATACGGACCCAATAATTTTTCCCTGAGTTGGGAGGACCACCAAACATCATTTTAAAGATGTTTATATGTTGATTTTTTATCTTTACTTTGTTCATTTGTAATTTTGAAAATATGGGCAAATAGAAAAAAAATTATTCATTAAATCTCCTAACCCACTCTGAATGATTTCATGCCTTTTCAACTGTTGCTCCTCTGTAATGAAAATTATAAATGCATGTTTATTTGACACAGTATACGAGGGGTGATAAAAAAGTAAACAATATCTTAGGTATTTGATATCTATATTATTGTTGAAATATTCAAGTATTTTTCAAAGTGTAAATTTTTAATTGAAGGTCTTTGATAGCATATTGCTTTAAAAAACACATCCCTTTTCAAACTTGCTTTCACCGGGCAACATAACATGTATCATATTTAACCATCTGCCTTCCTTCACTAAAACGATATCCAATCATTGATTGAAATTATAGAGGCCATTTAATAAACTGTGAACAAATTCTTATACGCTACTTCAAAGGCATTTCTAAGATATACATGTGCCATAGATATTATAGTCGTTTGTTGAACGAGTTCCACTGAGACAACCATTTTTCGTCAAAAGTACCTGAATAATGACGTCATTTTCAGATTGTGACATCACAAACAAGGAGCAAAACTTCAGCATATGCTATTTATAGAACTTGTGTTTGGCTATCTAATCTGAATTGTGGTTTTGTAGATATAGAGATATTTCGCGAACTTTTTGATAACGCTTCGTACTAGTAGGTACTAAAACAAGGTCATTCGTATCAATTTTATGTGTCTAATTTCTTTGTGTTTTATTGGTGATAATTAAAATTTTAATTGATAATATAATTTATCTGGTGCAAACTTACAAACTCTTAATTTTTAACTTTGATGGTGCTTATTTTTCCTTACCTGGAATCAAAGAGTTTAATTTTTTTTCATATTAATACGTAAACTATTTAACAACTGTTCGGTAATAATACTAAATAAATTACTTCAAGCCACACTATAACACCTTTCCTCTTTTAAAAGTGTTCATATTAATTGAAATATTTTGCAACTGTAATTCTCTTCTACATTTAAAGATTGTTATGCCCCTCCATATTAAGAAGAGGTCTGGAAAACAAGATTCTGTGCTAAAAATAGACCACGTGCTGCTATCCATGAACTACTTTCATGGTTCTTTACACTCTTTTTGAAGACAACGGTACCTTGTTTTGAACTTGAAATTATCATTTAAAAGTGCAAAATTTAGACATTTTCTCAACAAATGGTTGTAGAGAGAACATTAATACACAGTTTGTATATTTTTTTGGATTTTTTAAGGCTCTGCTGAATTCTGTAGCTGCGCAGTTCTAAGGAGCATATCAAAAGCATTTTTCTGCAAAAGTATAGATTATATATGCACAACATGCATTCGGTTATGCATATTTATTGTATCTTTATCAAAAAGACTTAAAATTTGATCAAAATATAATGTATTTTAGCCATTTGAAGAAATGTTTACATTTTGCTCTCACTGCACTAAAAGTGGCCGTACATCCCCCTTAAATGCCTGCGGGGCATGATTAAGAAACCCACGTGCCATTATAGGGTATTAGTGTTACACATCATTGAACAAACAATGTCGTGAAATTCATGTTGAAAGTCAAATTGTGAATGTACTCTCAATTAAAATTTATAAATTAAACTTATAGAGTGTTAATATGATTTCAATTCTTTACTGTTGCTTGATATATACATTCAATGGTCATTTGCGTGTTTTAGCAAATCCCTGGAGAAGAAAAATAAAAATGGCGGACATCGAAGTAATTGTCGTCCACCGGTAAATAATGTTTGAGTAAAATTTATTAGGAATGTGTCCAAGTTGTTCTGAAATCGGAATTACTATTCTTTGGTCTCGGGTATCTCCCGATTTATAGCTGTAAAATAATAACGTATTTACGTGTTATTTATGCCTCTGATTTAACAACAGTGTGAAACTACGGAGGCATTGAACAGGCAAGTTGGAGAAAAATAAGTAGTTACACAATTCAAAGAAGTTTTAACTACATTTTTTTACAAAACAGTATTTAATTGCTGTACTCATTAAAATACCTGTTTATTTTCTTGATACGTTCATGTCACGGAATAACCCGATAATTTTAGGGGTTTACCTGTTCTGATACGTTGTATCTGCGTTAAAATCTTAAGAAAACGGGAAACAAAGCCTCGTCCTATATAGTAAGTTCGACCTATCTTAGGATTTTTCAAAATTTAAGGCTGAAAATGAGCCTTTCGACCTATATACCCCATCGACCTATATTCCCGAAATTACGGTACTTAGAATACATCAAACTTTAATAGAATCATCCTCAGGTAGTTAAGATATAAGTTTATTCAAATGATGACCCCCAGGGGTAGGGTGGGGCCATAATGGGTGATAATTGTTTTACATAGGAATGCAAAGAAAAAAATCTTCTTCTCAAGAACACTTAAGCCTTAATTTGTTATATTTATTTGGGAGCATCCTCATGTAGTGTAGAATCGAGTTTGTTCAAATAATGAGCCCCCTGGGGCTAGGTGGGCAATCAAA